AAAAAAAAAAGAAAAAAAAAAGGGGGGGCCCAGTGATTAAGTGAAGCAGCACCTATAATCCATCCCAGCTCAGTGAGGAAAGGAAAGCTACTGATACACAGGCACTCAGTGTCTCAGTGTTTCACTACTCCCCTCAGGAAATTTGCAACATGCAAGAAGACCATGGCTGTTGGTTTGCATTAAATGATGTTACTTATGTATGTTATTATATTTATGATGTTATCAACTTATGTTACTTTTTTCCTCTATGCCTGGATGTTCCTGTCCCTTGGGAAGTTTCCATGCTGCTGCCTCACTCCTGTACTCTATACAGCCTGTATGTCAGGGAAACAGCATCATCCCCCTTTCACTTGGATCTTCCACTTAATTGACTTAATATTGACTGTCTTCATGATGGACAACATTTGGGCTGCCTTCAAACCTCAGAAAAGCCAATTAAATTATTTCCACCAACTTTCTCAGGCTTCAAAGGAGCCATGAGTGAGTTGCAGACAACTATCTCCCTGGAGAGGCAGCAAGTCGGGCACTGTCACCCAGACTCAGCCCCAAGGCCTCACGTAGCTGCGTGTGGATCACCAGTGGAAAGGGAATTGATTTTTTGCCATGAAAATCAACCAGCTGGAAAGCTTGGCCAAGCAGAGCCACCAAGCAGCACGTGCTGTCTGAGCAGATGAACTCTCCCACTGAAAGGCACACATGCAGAAAGCTGTGGGGAGGTGGCAGGAATGTGTTGAAAGAACTGAAAGCTAAAAGGACACGAAGGGAGGAAAATCTAGATGGTTTTTCAAGTGCTCACTCTTTTTCTGTGGACATCAATGCCTAGAAAAGCTTGTGCCCCTTTCAGGGCACTTTGCTGGCCTTAGTATGTGCCTTTTTGGAATTATATCCCTTCCACAGCCCCTTCTGGACTGGCTGCTTGCCCTGCAGATTCAGCTGGAGCCCCACAAGTCTGTTCACATCTTACATGTGCTTGTTCCTCTGGAAAGCCGTGACACTGATGCAGTGCAATTGCACAGAGCTGACATTTCTAACTGGTACTTGACACCACTACTCTTTTCAAATCAAACATCACCACAAGCAGCCCATTCTGCCTCCTGCTTCAGCCTGGACCAGGATGGGGATGCTTCACCAACACCCTGCTGAGCTAGGCTGAGCCTATGGAGGAAATCAAGCCCATGATTCGAGTCTGTGTCTACCACACAGAGCTGAGGTATTTGCAGTGATCTACTAACAGCACGAGCAGGACAGGCAGATGAAAACCATTTGGAAATGCAGCCAGGAAATGTAACATACAGTAGCTGACAGGGGACAACCAGCTCTTGAAGTCAGGTCAGCTCATTGCCTGCTAGGCAGCCTCAGCTGAAAGGCAGAGGACACTCACTGCATCATACTTAATTCTCTCAGAGTTACCACTAGAGCTAATGCTACCTTGTGAAACTGCAGGTGCCCAAAAAAATTTTAACAAAGGAGTTTTTTTCTTGTAACATTAACACAGTACCTTTCCATCTCAACACACTGATGGGGGCACAGCTCCATGCAATCCTCTTCACCTTTCTTCTTCATTTTGAGCTCCTCACAGTGAATCTATCAAGCACAGGGAAGGAAAAAAAAAGGAGTTTTTAAGGGGAAGTAAAAACATCAACAATCTAAGAGGAAAAAGTTAGGTAACTAATTACAGTGAGAACAGATAACAGTGTCTTGTATTTCTATTTTATTCTTCATAAACTACAAATGGTTGACAAGTGAGCCAGGAATCTACTTCTTCCTTCCCAGAACCAGCCACTGTTAAGTCTACCACTGTGTCAGGGACAGTTCTGCAAGGGCAGGAGCAACAATAATCTCTGGCTGCAGTGACAAAAATCTACCCAAGGAACAAAGCTGCCAGCAGTTGCAGGAAAACTGGAAGGGTTGCAAAAAGGGCTTTTATTAATGATCATAAAAGAATCAATTATTTTTCATACTCGAGAATTCAAACATCCTCACATTGTCCAAAAAATTCTTATGCTTCATGGAAGTGCCCAGTAAAACTACTGCTCCAAAATTAAGAGAATTTGAGTAATGACTCTGATCTAAATCACTTGGAGAGAAGAGAAAAGGAGCCACATGTAAGTTATTGAGTATGAGTGTGCTGTTCAAGCACTCTGCAAGCTTCTAACAAGCTTCCCTCTGGTCAGGCAAGTTACTCTCCAGCACTGTATTTCCAAAGAGAAGGGAGACAAAAAATCCCAAACCAAGCTCCCAGAGAAAAGGGCTATTACAGGGTAACAGTAAGCAGTCCACATTAAGATAATCCCTTGAAACTAGAGATTTTGAATTAGAACTCCAAACATGAAAAAAGCAGGCATCACCTCTCCATCTCAAGTGGAAGAAGACATTGTACAAAGAGTGAGCCAACATCACCTCATCCAGAGGAATCTTTCTGCTCCTGTGCTGCAGGCTGGTGACAGCCCTGGGTATGTTTCTTCATACACCTCTAGCTCATCAGAAAAGGAGCCCAGAAGCCTTAGTCTTGTCTTTTGAACAAACAATATCATTATGGTAGTTGCTAGAACTGAAAATTTACATGTTTTATAAAACCTATCTTAAGGACCACTGAAATGAAGAGGGGAGCCATCCAGAGCTAAACCTGCTATTTATAAGCAAATCAGTTTTCAATTACAAGTCAGTCTCTTTATTGGTAACATCAACTTAATGTGAAACCACAGCTGAACATTTTATAGAAACCATGCTGCTTCATCTATGTGCAGGGAAGAAATTTAAAGTGAAAGGTTGCCAGCAAAAGATCTGAGGTGTTTGGCATCCCCTGCCCTTCTTAATTCCAATTCCTACAGGCATTTCACACATTCTAAATTCATCTGGTAATCACTAATTACAAGGATCCTATTAAGAAAAATGTCAATTCAGATTCATGTGAAACTTGATTCCAGCTTGTCTGAGTTTTATGAGTGTCTGTTTAATCATTATACAATCACACTGAAGTATGGAAAGCTGCATTTGATTGATTTCAACAGGAGCAGCAGACACTGGGGACTAAGTGAGGACTAAGCCTTATTTTGGAGTGCCTGAACTTGGCCTGCATGTGTCTGACTAAATATAAAATTTGAAAAATATTGACCTTGAATGAACACTCTACTACCACTGAAACAACAACAACAACAACAACAAAAAAAACAACAACAAAAAAAAAACAACAACAACAAAAAAACTGACCCAGAGCACCACAGAATTCAGACTGTTACTCCAGCTCTAATTTGTGCCACTGAGCACAAATTTCACCTGTTTCAGATGTATTTGCCAAACTGGGCACAGTATTGCAGCCTGCATTAAAATGATGCAAGTTAAAAGTCACTGAAAATATGTCACCCATGTTGGTAAGAGTCGTGTAAGATGCAAGCAACATTCTGAAAAAACTGGTAAGGAAAAAAATAATGGTGAATGAACAAAAATATATTTATTTAGTTACTGTGTTATTTTCTGGTTCTGCAGTGTGAGCCAGATTTGGGGGCCCTGTTGGGGAGCTCTCTGGGGCTGCAGTGAGGACACTCTGGATTTTCTGTGTCCCTGTTCCACTGAGCCAGGGAAACACAGAAAAAGCTGCTAAAAGCTGACAAGTCCCACATCCCTGTGTGGCCCAGCTGCACACCCAGGCAGCATAAGCATGCATTTCTGCTGCTCACACTGCTGGGGTGGGGGACGTTGTGCAGGTCTCCTGACTCTTAGTCATATGTAGATTTTGCAGCTAAAATCCAAATCCCCGCTTGAGAACCTGAACGAAAGAGATGCAACCCAGCCATTGTGCCCCATGCAAGTGTTTGTTATTAGGACTACCAGAAGTTTTTATAACCATAATATGCAGTGTAATGCTGTAGGTTTTTATTAGATCTGGCAAACTGAAGCCTAGATGGATAAAATTCAGCTACTTCAAAGAATTAAGGCTCTGTAAAAGAGAAGGTTGTAATGGTCATGTAAAGGATTGCCCAGAATTACATAAATTTTCTGCTTTCTGTCAAGGCTTTTCAGAACAGGAACACCCTGAAGTAAAACAGAATCAGTCCTGCTCACAGATTTATGGGATTTTGCAATAATTGGAAATGCTTGTTAAAAAGTGTGCAGAATTTCCTTGGTGTTCACTCACCAAATTTATCATGGCTCCAAGCTCTAAGTATTTTGGAGATACACCCAGAATAGGTCAAAAAGGCACTTTTTTGGATGGAGTATTAATTTGCATTAGAAACAAGTTTCCCACATAGAAGAAACATATTTGGGGATGAAAAAAAATCACATTGTTCAAGAAAAACAATGAGACTCACTAATTCTAATGAAATCTTAACTGTAAAATTGATTACAACCAGAGAGGCACTCATCACACTGCTGTTTCAAAATGTTTTCCAAAGTGCTTTTCACAAACATCCTTATTGTAAATGTTAAATCCTGCACTGCTCTTGCCTCATTCTCTTTTTCTTTCCCCAAGTCTAGTTCTAGCTTAAGAGCATCTAATGTTTCCAAACCCTTACTCATTTTACCCAAACTTGCTCAGTAATTCACTTTTATTTAATTTGTACCAAAGCAATATTTTGTAGGAATGCAATGTAAAATGAATGCCAGAGATGAGCCAGACTAAAAGTGCAGAAAAGGGGTAAGGAGATGTTTGGTTTGGTTTTCCTGCCTAGATCAACTCAGTGGTTCAATTTTACAAATGACCACCATCACCAGACATTGTCCCAGTAGAGAGAATTGAAAAGAAACAATATGTCAAATAAATTAAAGTATATGCTAACAAAATTCACACAAGGAATAAACCCACTCATAAATTACCTTTCCAGTAATACACATTTTTGTGTTTTGAAAGCTGCAGGGCCTGTCACAGCCAGACTGAGTAAACTTACATCATTTAAGTATTACCCATATTGCAAAATAGCTCCAAAACTAAGTGGAACAAACATCATCACCAGTGCTGTTGATAAACAAGCCAGCAGGTTATTTGTGTGTGGCTGTAGTGTAGGAGGAGTGGGAGGGAGAAATGCATTATTACAGTAAATGTGGTCAAAATGGAAGAACAACCAGAGAAATAAAAGGGCATTTGATGAAAGAGAGCCTAAGCAACACTCAATGAAACTAATCTAAAATGGGAATAAAGCCTTCAAGACTTTTTTGGCATGAAGAAACCAAATTTCTGCCAACTTCCCTTACCTAGATATTCCCAGGTTTGGTTCTCAGAGTAGCACCTGAACCAGCCATTACCCTGCATGTCTGTCTGCCCTTTGCTGAAAATGCAGCTTCATAGACACAAATGCTGCCTAGAAAAAGCCACAAACACAGCAAGATCTGCCAATTGTCTCCTCCCCCATTATTTCCTGATAAAGTGCTGAGACTTCAATATAAGACAGCTTCTACCCAAAATTTTAAATCCAAATATTGATTTTAGCCAAAAATAAAGAGTAGATAGCTTCCTCAGCTCTGTCTTGCCTAATTTCATTTGGATAAAATGAAACTGGTACTGCCCTGTGTGATTCAGGAAGATTTAATGCTGAATATCTTAAGCTGATCTCAATATTAAGTACAATCCTCTTTGATTAAGGTAACAGTAGATTTTGAGCAACAACCCCTGCAAGAACTTAATTCCCAAATGCCGTCCCATGGAGCTGTGATATCCACAACTTGATAAGCAGCGTGGGCTATGCTCCCCCATACTGGTTTTGTGAAAATGCTCCTCTGGACACACACAAATTCCTGTCAGTGGCTTTAAAGCAAAACACTGCTTTAACACAACAGGACCTTATTCAAAATCAATACAACATTTGTTTCTTGAACTGGATCTTAAACAAAAACAATTTGGAGGCATGTTTCTCCCTTTGCCAATCAGCAAATTTCTAAGTATCTTTGAACTGAAGATCTTGAGAAGATCTAAAAGTCAGAAGATGATAAATCCCTTCTTCAAGTTGAAATCAGTTCCACGAATGCCACCAAAAAGCCACCACAGTTGTGCTCAGCCTCGGGTGACATACATTTTAAACATTTACATTTGTCTCAATGTCAGCCACTCCACACGGATATCTGCACAAGTGAGTTTAAAGCACACTGACTCATTTGAAAGGCCACAAAACACGAGCTCAGAGCCAAAAACATCATGACCACACTTCCAACATGCAAAAGAGTCACATAAGAAGTGACCAGAGGAAGTTGCAAATATCATCTCACCAAGCCATCAAAGACACACAGTCTACCTCAAAACACCCTCAGTATTTCTCCTGTTAAAAATGAGACTCCTCATTTTTAATACATTTAGAAGAAATTTTGAATTAATGGCAAATGTTCAGTTCATCTAAAGCCAAGTAGTGCACAGAGGTCTGGGTACAAAGTCCATGATACTTTGAGCACACTTACTGTACACAATTTCTATAGAAGCAAATTGTTAATAGAATACAATTAATTTTTTAAAAAATATATAATATTTTGATAAAATAAAGCCCTCAACAATTTATATCTTTTCAATGCTATTTTCTCATTATCTCTGTCCAATTGTAATTTGCTCAACAAATTATTTGGAGGTGGGCAAGATGGGAAGGAAGTATTTATTTGTAAAA